AAAGCCTGGGGCAGCCGGGCCGCCATAAGGGCGGGGCGCCTCCCGATCGTCCCGTAGCGACTGATCTACTTCTCCATCCGAGTCACGGCACCAAATTGTTATAAATTGTGACACGGCAATTTGAAGTGTCTTAATTCAATAAAGCAATTTTATTTAAAATTAGCAAGCGAGTAAGGCAGGCAAAAATTCAGCACTGGGCGGCCGGGGAGTCTCCTGCTCCACCAACGGCGCGCAAAAATGTTCTGTCCCAACCTTCCTTTTATCCCCCCTTTTCTCCTTGCAGACGTGACTCTCCAAATGTAGTCTGAGTCTGGTCTTGTGATAGCTTCTAAGTCTTTTCTTTTGAGATACAGCAAGTAGACCAGATACACACACGCCCAGGACTTTAATCTCAACCTCCTTATCACCTTGTAAGCAAATAAGCATTTCAAAGACACACCAGTACATTCTTAGCCACTATCTTATGCAAAACAAATTAGGTTAACATACCACAGTACATTCTTATGCAAACTAAGACAAGCAAGCATATTACAGTGAACAAATTATCTTCTACTTATCTCAGAAGATACTGAAACTTTTTCTTCATCTAGCTTTGTAGGTTCTCTTTTCTATATGTAGCCACCTCCCATCCTGGGAAAAAATGAGCTCTATTTTTTTACAAGTGTTTTGTATGCACAACTTTAATTGCTGTTCTAGATACACTGCAAGTAGTTAGCACTTCCAGAAAAACTAACAAACAAACAAAACAAAAAAAACTAAGAAAGCAAAACACATTTGGGTACATGAATGAGGACTGGTTGGAAGGAAAAATGTTTCTCAAATGTTTCTCATTGACCTACCAAGTAGATGGTGTTACCTTTAGTTTAACTTAACACACTGAGAACACTTGATTGAACAGCCTGCATTGACTCAAATTAATAGCAGGTTTTGCTATGTCACAGCTGTAAATTAATTTTTCAGTCTTTGAGTATATTAAGTTATGTATTTCAAGATAAAAATCACAATGCAAATTGGAAGAAATTTAGTACTGCATGAGGTGTGCACACAATTAATTTACCTCCAAAAGTCAGTTTACAATTTTCCTTTACTAGGATTGCAGTAGCTGCTATAGGTTGAATACACACTGGCCAGCCTTGATTTACTGGATCTAACATTTTTGATAAATAAGCCATGGGTCTCTTTACTCCTCCCCACTCCTGAAACAAAACCCTATGAGCTACCCCCTTTTCTTCATTTACATACAGATGAAAGGGTTTTGCTAGTGAAGGTAAGCTTAAAGTTGATATTGGGGTTAGTTTTAACTTCAGTTTTCTTAGTTTTTCATCATCCTTTTTGGTCCATTTTATATAATCTCCCTCTGTCAATTTTTTATTCAAAAATTTTACTGCCTGTGTATATCCTTCAATCCACAATCTATAATATCCCAATAATCTGAGTAGCTTTCTGATTTCCCCCTTTGAAGAGGGAGGGGGAAGGAATAGAATCCCTGTGTTTCAGTCTAGGTTGAGCTTCGAACTACCCCTCCTAATCAAGTGTCTAAGATATTTTACCTCTGATTCTACAAATTGCAGCTTCCCTTTTGATACCCTTAATCCTTTTTCCCCAAGAAAATTCAAAAGCTTTATAGTAGCCTCTCTAACTTCAAGTTTAGCTTCCCCAGAAATTAAAGATCATCCATATATTGGATAACTTGTATTCCAGGGGGAAGTGGGGAAAGTTTGTAGTATTGTTTCTAAAGCTTGTCCAAATAAGTCTGGGGATTCTGTAAACCCCTGTGGTAGTTTTGTCCATCTTAATTGCTGTTTTCTCCCAGTTAGTGGGTCCTTCCATTCAAAATCAAAGATAACTTGCTCTCCTGGGCTAATGGGCAATCCCAAAATGCATCTTTAAGGTCCACTACACTAAACCACTGATGCTGGGGAGGAACTTTACTTAAAAGAGTATAAGGATTTGGTACCACTGGATAGCGGGTCTGAGTTCCTTTGTTAACCTCCCTTAAGGCTTGTACCAGTCTATAGCTCCCATCAGGCTTCTTTACTGGGAGTATTGGGGTATTATGGGGAGACATACAAGGTTCTAATGTCCCATCCTTTATTAGTCCTTCTATTACTGGCTTTAAACATTCCCATCCTTCTAAAGATGTAGGATACTACCATACACGTATGGGACAATTTTTTTTTTCTCAATTGTAATCTTTATGAGGTCAATATTTAATCTTCCCCTATTTTCCTCCCCAGCCCAAACTTCCTTGTTAATTCTTCTTTCATCCTCCTGGCCTAGTTTTAAAAGTCTAGCTGTCATCTTCCCATCTTCTGGAACAACCCCTATTCCTAATTTCACTTGTAAATCTCGTCCCAATAAATTGCTACCTACCCCTGGGACCAATAAAACATCCCCCATCCAAAATCTAGTTTCTCCCTCTATTACCACATTTTTAATAACAGGTACTGTGAAACTCTCTCCTTTCGCTCCTGTTACTTTTACAGTATCTTTGCTTACACTATAACCTTTTGGAATATTTAACAGAAAGGTTCTTTCTGCCCCTGTGTCTACCACAAACTCCAAGTCTTCTTCTTGGGGACCCACTTTTAAAGTTATCACAGGCTTTAGATGGTATCTGTCCCCCCGCAAAAAATAGAGCCTCTAACATCCTTATTCTTCTTCAGTGTGCCCATCTCTTTACAAATTCTCAGATCTGTTACCCTCTTAGGACAATCTCTCTTATAATGACCTTTGCCCTTACAGTAAAAGCAGATATTCTTACAATGTTTCTGAAACTTTGATTGCATTGGGATTTTATTATTTCCTGTTCCTCTGTCTCTACCACTATCATATCTAGGAGTAGTGCCTGTGGGGTTTTTATTGCTTTCTTGCAATTGTTTTCTCACATGGTGACTGCCACAATCTTTGCTTTTAGTTTGGCTTTGGCCACAGACTTTCTGAGCCTCCTTTAATGAATCATCTAATAATTTGTCATGCCAATCTTCAATTTTTTCCATTATCTGGCCAAGCACAAAGATAATCCTTAACAAAGCTTTTCTCACATCAGTCTCAGATGCACTCTGGAACACTGCCTCCTATTCCTCCCAAGTCTGTCCAACCACTCAGCCGGAGCCTCCCCCCTCCCCTGCTGTGCCCCAAAAGTCCCCTCAGCACTTTGCCCTCGAGATGCTGCCCCCCTATTCCCCCGACAATCAAATTACAATGCTCATTCATATGTTTTCTCCCCTCCTCATCATTTTGACCCCATTCAGGAGATGCAGTTGGCATTTTGTCCTCCCCGGGGGGGGCCCTGTGGATTTTCTTTACTCCAGGCTTTCATGCCTGCAATTCTGATCATTTCCCTTTCTTCTGAAGAAAATAGTATCTTTAATATTGACTGCATTTCTTCCCAAGTATAAATGTTTGAACCTAAAAATTGGTCTAATTGTTCAGCAGTGCTTATGGGATCCTCCAAAATCCCTTTAATTTCCTTTTTAAAATTCCTGACCCCAGAATAAGTCAAAGGAGCATTCACAAACCTGGCTCCACCCCCTCCTATCGGGACCTCTCTTAGTGGAAATAGACCAATTTCTTTAGCCCAGTCTCTTTCTACAGCCTTTCTCCCGTGCTGTGAGGAAGAGTCCGGAGAATGTTGCCTCCTAACTGAACTTCCTGTGTTCCTGTAAGGGGCGTCCTCCAGACAGAAAGAGTTTCTCGGAGCTGGGGCTGCGGTTCCCGGGGAGCGGAGCTCCGGGCAGGAAGGGGCTGAGGGCAGGGCCGAGCGCCCAGCCCTGGTCCTCCGAAGGCGGAGCCCGGGCAGGGTGTGCTGCCGGAGCCGCCGCAGGAGGGGCAGTGCCGGGGGCACCAGCCGGGAGCGGGATCGGCCCGCCCGCGGTTAGGGGCGGCTGGGCCGGTGCTCCCGGCAGAGGCAAAGCAGCAGCGGCGGTGCCCAGCGCAGCCGGGACGGGCAGAGTCGCCGGGGCTGGGGCAGAGAAATCAGCCGCGGGAGGAGCCCCGGGATGGGCTGGGCGGGAGCGCCGAGAGCCCGGCGGGCGGAGCGGCCGGGCGGGCCGGGGCCGGGGCCGGGGCCGGGGCCGGGGCCGGGGCCGGGGCCGGGGCCGGGCACAGAGGCTGCGGGCGGCGGGGCGGGACCGGGATAGGTGGGGCCGAAGCGGACAGGGAGCCGGGGCCCGGGACAAGCGGGTAAAAAAAAAAAGAGAAAAATCAGGCCACTCCAATATTGAATTAAAGCTTACAGCTATTTAATAAAAGCATCCCAAACCTCTGACCTGAACAATTAACCCCTAATCTAACTCTAACCTACCCAAATTGTAAGTCCTAGCCCTACCCCTAACGAAACCACAGCCGTAACTGTACACTAACCCCTAACTGTAACCTCTAACCCTAACTGTAACACAAACTCTTTCCTTTACTCTGCCCTTGGTTTCAGTGTTGGGGCCCTCAGCTGGGCTGGTGGTGTCCTGGTCATAGTACACCTCTGTGTAACCCAGGCATTGTCCAGGTAGAGTGCTGTATGGCAGCAGGTGTAATCCAGGTGGATCCACACCTGTGTGGAACTCACACCTGTGTGGAACTCAGGTGTTGTCCAGGTGTAACACCATGTAGGAGTGTGTGAGCTGAGTGCTGTCCAGGTGTAGTGCATTTTGCATCAGATATTATCCAGATGTATCTATGCCACACCTCTTTGTGACTCAGGTGTGTGTCTGTCACACCCATGTACAATCCAGATGTTGTCACCTCTCACTGACAATTTCCCTCCTCAGCGGATTCCGTCACCTTCATGGGAACAGGTGGGGATCCATATACATTTCACACATGACATCTGTGTTGCTGCCCACATGCATCTGTGTACACACACCTGACACAGGTGTTGCTCAGTGGGTGTTTATTGCTGTTTCCATCACAATGCAACCTCCATGGGAGCACATCCTTCTGTGGGGGTGGGGTGATGGCTGTTAGGCAAACCCCCTACCCCAAGTGTCTCAGGTGTCACCTGCTCATGACCCACAGACATACACCTGCTCCTCTGTGATCCTTGGGGGCTTGGGGGATACTGAGAGGGTCTTGTGGGGTGGCAACAGATTCCAGGGGGCCTCAGGTGTCTTTGACAGGGTGCCAGGAGTCTCGGGGGGACCCTCAGTGGTCTCGAAGTGGTCAACACGGAAGGCCCAGCGCCCCGGGACCCCCAGGTTGCTGCGGTGGCTGAGGCTCTGCACTGCAGGCGTGCGTGACCCTGGCACATTGTAGTAGTGGACATCGTCTCCGCTGTTGAACCCAGCCTGCAGGAGAGAAAATGGGGGAACGGGGGGGACGTGAAGGGAGGGGAACAGGGACATGGGAGAAGGTAGGGGGTAAATTTTGCCCAAATTCCCATTGAATTTTACTGAACATGAGCTTCATTTCACCCCAAATCCACTTCATTCCACCTAAAAAACCTCTGATTTCAGACCAAATCTCCCTGTTTTCACTACAAATTCCCTTAATTCTACCCCAAAATCCCTTAAATCCTATTAAAATCCCCCTAATTTCACTCCAAATCCCTTTAATTACACCCAAATCCCCTTAATTACACCCCAAAATGTTATACCCCTCTTAAGCTCAGAATCCCTCCTAGCCAAGTGTCCCACATCCCTTGGACTGTCCTCATCTGCCCAGGGATGCCCCATGCCCAGTGTCTTCTGTCCCTCTCTGTATCTCCACCTGTGCAGGGGTGCCCCCTAGGCCAGTGTGGGGATCCCCCTGGTTAGCAATGCCAGTTGTCCACTGCAAGTCTCTGTAGTTGAGCAGGACAAAGCAGGTGACGCCATCTGAGGCCAGCACTGCCTGGAAGGTGTTCACCTGCAGGGGGACATTGTCACCAAGTCACTATGACCCCCAGCTATGTCTCCATCCCTGTGTCCCCAAACAATTGGTGCCACCATGGTTAGGGACATCATGGTTGAAGATCAAGATATTTCAGCACCCCCACCTTGTCCCATATCCCACCTTGTCTGAGGCAGCCCCAAAATAGGCCACACGGTCCCAGGTGGCCACAAATGCCCAGGTAGGCTGTGGAGGCAGGTCCCCAGGTGGCACAGCAGGTGCCAGGTCCTGGGCCAGGCGTGCCAGCAGCTGGGCATCGCGGCTCTGCCGGTAGAAGACATTCCCTCCCAGACGGGTGTCCACATCAGCCCAGTATGGCGCCACAAACGGGTGGTGGCCTGGCAGCGGGAAGGGCTGGGGCGTGAACTCCGGGACCATTGTCCCGAAGGACACCACACCGTTGTTGTTCACCTGGAGGCAAAGGTCACCCATGGGAAACACCTGGATGGCACCAACCACAGTGACCCCTCTATAGCGGTCCCAGGTACAGTGTCTCCAGTCATGAGTCTCCATATCAACTATGGTGATCCCTGTCATGGTGGCCTCAACTGTGATGACCCCCAACCTCCAGTCAGTCACCGCAGAACCTCCCAGTATGGGCCTGGGAGCCCCAGTGTCACCCCAGAATCCACCAGTAGGGGCCTGGAACCCCAAAAACCACCTGAGGGTCCCACAGGTGTCCCCAGTGTCTTCAGGGACCTCCACGGGTATCCCTGATGTCCCCAGGGGTCCCCACTCACCAACATAGTCAAGGAGGAGGAGGAGGAAGAGGTGACATCTGGTGGCTGCATCCAACTTGTCACCCTCCCCTTGGTGTCACCTTCCACTTGTGTTACCCACCAAATGCCATCTCCCCCATGTCCCCCTGGTCATATGACCTACATAGAGTGAGCGGTAGGCATGCCCAAAGAAGGAGAAGTTTTCCTGCAGGAAGATCTCAGGGCTCGTCCCGTCGTCTTCATGGTGTGTGGCTTCATCCCCCACCCCTGGTCCAAAGGGGTACAGGACCCTACCTGGGGACACAGACCTATCACACACCTGGGACACAGGTGGCACACAGGATGCAACCTGGTGAACACACCCTGTAGCACCTGGGACCTCCCAGTGTGGAGCTGGGACCTTCCAATATGGGCCTGGGACTCCCCATATAGGTCATGGACCCCCAGTGTCACCCCAGAACCTCCCAGTTCGTAGGGCCTGCTGGTAGGGGACTGGGATGTCCCAGTATGGAGCTGGGACCTTCCAGTATGGGCCTGAGACCTCCTGGTGTGGGACTGGGACCTCCCAATATGGGCCTAGAACCCCCAGAATCACTCCAGAACCTCCCAGTATGGGACTGGCACCTATCCAGTATAAGCCTGGGACCCAAACTCACCGAGGGGTCCCACAGGGGTCCCCAGTGTCCTCAGGGGTCCCCACTCCTCTGCGTGGCTGAGGAGGAGAAGGACGACAATGGGGGAGACTTTCATGTGTCCAGGCCTAGGGGAGTGTGAGGGGATCGCCCATCAACCATGTCCCCACGTACCCTGTAACCTCTCCATCTTCCCCATATCCCCAGTGCCCCAATATCCCCCCATGCCCCTCCATGTCTCCCTCAATGTCCTCAGTGTCCCCAGTGACCTCCCCCATGTCCCCTTGTCCTTCTTATGTCCCTCATGTCCCCCCTCCATATCCCCATGTCCCTCATGTGCCCCATGTCTCACGTGTCCTCACTGATCTCCTATTCCCCTGTGTCCAGCATGTCCCACATATGCCCCCATGTCCCATATGTCCCCCATGCCCACCAGTGTCCCCACTCACGGCATTCCCATGGTCCCAGTCTGTCCCAGTGCTCTGACTGGAGCCACTTTATGCCCAGGGAGGAGACAGGTTGCAGGGTGGGGGATGACATGGGACACCCCCAGGTGGCACCTCCCAGGGCCCCAGGCAGTTCCGTCTCTGCCCAGACTGCAACTGGGGGGGACTGGAATGGACTGGAGGGGACACTGGGGTGGTGGCTGGGATGTGCTGGGGGACACTGAGAAGGCTGGAGGGGACACTGGCGGAGGGCACTGAGTGTGACTAGGATGCATTGGGAGGCACTCGGGGTTACTGGAACATACTAGAAGACACTGAGAATGGTGAAGGGGCACTGGGGAGGGAAACTGGGAGTTACTGAGATGCATTGGGAGGCATTAGGGGATACTGGGATGTACTGGGGGACACTGCAAGGCTTAAATGGGCACTGGGGGGACACTGAGTGACACTGGGATGCAGGAGGAAGAACTGGGGAGGGACTGAGACAAACTGGGAAGGATTTGGGAACACCATAGGGAATAGTGGGGGAAGACTGGAATGCACTGGGAAGGACTAGGGACAATGGGGGTATACTGGGGCCAGCTGAGGGAGTGTGGCAGAGACTGAGGGGTAGGGGGGGTGTTGTACTGGGAGAGATTGGGGATACCGGGAGGCACACTGGGAGGGACTAGGGGGTGGGTACTGGCGTGTACTGGGAGGAACTGGGGATACTGGTGAGGGGTCCCCTCCAAGTGTGCCATAGCACACACCTCCCTAGGTGGACTCAGATGTCCGGGAACCCCCTCCCGCTCCCCGGCACCAAACATCCGGGTGCCCCCCCGCCCTTCCCCCCACGTGGGACTCAGGCGTTGGGAAATATTGACCAACGGGGGAAGGGGGGACACGGAACTGCCCGCGGCAGGACAGGGTGGGAACACCCTCCCCACCCCCACTGCCCCCCAGCATATTCCCACACTCCCGTTTTCCCAGAATTTCCATTATTTTATCCCAGATCAACAGCAAACGGCGTTTTCTCTCAGGTTTTATTTTGGGGGCGAAAGCACAATTTTGGGACTTATAAAAATCCGGGTTTTCCGGATCTGAGGCTGTTTGAGGATGACGTCAGTGATAGGGCGCGGCCACTCAGGTGAAATGTCAATTTTCCACATCACTGGGTGGGAAGAAAGGCAAATCGAGAGGGACTTTGTGGCAGTTTCTTCCACTTTAGGGTCTTTCCCCTCTTTTCTGGACGTGTTATGCCCATTTTTGAACTCTTTTTCCTATGTTGTTTGTGTCTTTCCTCAATTTGAGATCCTCTTTCCCCCTTTTATATTCACTTTTCCCTTGTTTTGGACTATTTTTCCCCCTTTTCTTGTGCTTCTCTCCCACTCCCCCCCTTTGTGGGAGTTTCCCCCCCCCCCGTTTCTGGTGTATCTTTTTCCCCCTAGTTTTTGCGCTCTTCCTCACTTTTTAATATTCCTTTTCCCTATTTTTGGGTCCTTCACTCATTTTTGGTGTCTTTTCTGATCTTTGAGTTTTTATTCTCATTTGGGGGGTTCTTTTGACCTTTTTTTCCCTCCCTCTTTTCTCCTTTTCTGCTCTCTTTGCAGTTGTTTCAGTTCATTTCCTCAGCTGCCTCATTTCCTCATTTATAAGTCTCTTTTCCCATCTTTTGGGGTTATTCTCTCCCTCCCTTCCCACCCCATGCTCTTGCTCCTTTTTTTGGTCTCTTTTCCTGAATTTTGGGCTCCTTTCCCCAGTTTTGGCTCTTCCCCCTCTTTTTGGTCTCTTCTCCCATCTTTTCAGGGCTCTTTTCTCCCTTTTGGAGAACTCGTTTCCCCCTTTTTGGTCTCTTTTCCATCTTTTGGGCCTTCTTTCCTCATTTGGGGCTATTCTTTTCCTCTTTTTTAGGCTATTTTTCTCCTCTTTTTTGACACTGCTCCCCCTAGTACCACCCCCAAGATACCCAAATCCCCCCAGTCCTCCCTCCCCCAGTGTCCCCATGGTGTCACCCACCTGGGTGATGTCGGGCGCTGCCAGGCCTCAGCCAGGACCCATGCATCACTCGTTACCATCCTGCGTCCCGTTGGGCTCTGCTGGTGGCACCATTGTAGTCGCTGCAGATGCCGCAGAGCCTGCACTTCTCTAGGCACCTCCACTGTCACCCCCGCAGTGCACAGTTCCACCAGAATTCCCGGGATTCAGCTGACCTGGAGGGTCGTGTGTGTCGCCATGATGGTCAACGTTCCTGGGAACTCCGCATGCAGGGGGGTGGGCTGCTGAGCTGAAGAACACCAAATTAAGGGAAAAAAGGGGATTTGGGGTGATACAGGGGTGAAGGGTAGTTGGAGGAAAAGAGGGTGGAAAAGAGGGAGTTTTTGGAAAAATGATGGGATGAATCGAGACATGGTGGGGGTAGGACAAGGGACAACCCATGTAGGTGCTTCTCTGACATGAAACTGGGAGAAGAAAGAGCAATTTCAGTCAAAATTATGGTGTGCATCAATTAATGGATGTCTCTTAGCCTCTCACACAGGTGCTTCACTGGCAGGAAACTGTGAGCAGAATAGCACAATTTGGGGCAAAATTAAGGTAAGAACATCCTGTGGTGCTGGTGGGATGAGACAATCCATGTGGACTCTTACCAGGTCTGAAATTAGGAAAAAAAAGTCAATTTTTTAAAAATTAAAATTAAGGTCAGAAGGATGTTTAGGATGACAACATGCAGTGGTGACAACATTTTTGGGTACCAGCCAGGGTGTTGACAACTTACCCAGACCTTCCTGTTTTTCTGCACGGTGATGAAGCCATGAGGCAGTGAAGAGGTGAAGTGCTACCACTGCTGGCTGGTCCCCAGTGTCCCTGACATCCCCAGCAGCTGGAACCACAGAGAGTCCTGGAGGTCACATATACTGGCCACCACACAGATGCCGGTGGCCAAGGTAGACCCAGTGATGCCATCAAAGGTGACAAAGTGGGTGGCAGGGGACAGGGCAGAATGCCCCAGGTGTACGATGCAGGTGTGGGTGCTGTCACGGAGGCTGCAGGTGTTGCCAAAGATACAAGCAAAGGGGCAGCACTGGAGGCCGCTGGGCCCCTGCAGGTGCAGGACTGGGAGCAGTCAGAGGTCAGGATGGTCTCAGTGATCTGTTTTCCATGGATAAAATGTGGAAAGTGGGTAAAACTGGACTAAAATGGCCAAAAAATGGAGATAATGAAGCTGTGAGGTCTTTTGGGAGGGAGGAAGGGGCCCATGGTTCCCATATCCCCTATGTGTCTCCATATTCCCAAAGGGTGCCCATGGGGACCACCAGCATCTCCCCAGCATGTCCCATGTCCCCACACATCCCCATGTCCCACATGGGGGGCACACTGGGGAGACTGGGACCTTCTGGGGGACACAGGGAACATTGGTGAAGATACAGGAAGATACTGGGACATGCTGGGAGACACTGGGAAGGACACTAAGTTCCCCCACTAAGAAACTGGGATAAATTGTGAGGCACTGTGGGGGGAACAGAAACAAATTGGGAGGGAATGGGAACACTGTGTGGGAAATTGGGGGAGGACTTGAGTACTCTGGGAGGGACACTGGACAATACAGGGAATACCAGGGGAGACTGGAGGGGAGGAGAGACCCTGGGGTAGAGGGGAATCCACTGGGGGATGTGTTTGGGGGAAGTGGGACACATGGGGAGAAATTATGAACATGGAGGATGCTGGGGTGTACTGAGGACACTGGGAGGCACACCAAAGGGATCCGGGATCAATGGGGAGCTTGGAAGGAGTTAGGCTGGAACTGGGCGGCACTGGAACCACACCCACCTGGAGTATGGTGGAGGCAGCCACAGCTCCGTGGGAGGATGCAGCAGGCCTGGTCAAACAGCAGCCCCTCGGTGCACTGACACCCCTCAAAGCACCGCTCGCTGCAGGGTGGGGTGGGGGGCGACACCTGCGCAGGTGTGCTCACAGGTGCAGGCATACAGCTGGTAATGGCTCTTGGGGGGGGCAGGTGAGAGCTGGGAAAGGGAGGGAAGAAACAAAGGGTGTCAATGGGGGGCAGTGGGGCTACTGGGGGATCATCTGGGGTCAATAGGTGTCTCTTGGGATCAGTGCCATCCCACCTTTGGAGTGGGTGGTCCCACTGGTTGCACAGGGTTCCACCAGGGGGACAGGCTTCTCATTTTGGGAGAGGTCCCCTTTGAGGGTGTGATTTCAGCATTTCCCAGATGGGGGCTGTTATGGACAAATTCAATTGGGGAGGCTAATTATAGATAAATTAATCAACAAGAATTTATTAAGCAAGTAGTATTAAGCAAAAGACAGTGCTGGGCAGCCAGGGAGTCTCCGCTCTACCACAGCGCACCTTCCCCCTTTGACCTTTTTGTTTTTATAGTCTTTTTTTTTTTTTTTCCCAGTTGATGTATTTTCTCTCGATGCACTCTGCACCGGTGTAATTGGCTGCAAGGAGGTATTTTTTTCTGCCCTTGGTGGTCATAGGAATGAAGGCTCCTCATTTTTCTTGCAGATTGTCCTTGGCCTAAAAGTTAACTTGTATATAATTAGTTAACACAGTCTTCTATGTTAGTTGCATTCCCTACGCAGTTCAAATTCTTATCTCCTTCAACGCTCGTTTTGATGACCAAAGACCTTTTTATTTATTACAGGGGCTTAGCAATGCAGACATGCTCCATTCCACTCCCCCAGACCTCCAAATTCCCACCCCCACCAAAATTTCCACTCCCTGCAAAATTCCCGTCCCCACAAAAATCCTGACCCGTGAATTCCCATCCTCCCAAGACTTCACTACCCCAAATTCCCAACTCCAAACTTCCTGTCACCTCAAATACCCGAATCCCCCCAAAATTCCCAATTCCTCCATGTAGTCACGGCAACCCGTGGTCTCCCGACATTCCCGTAGCACGCCTGCGGCTGACTGGCACGAGGCTGCGTAGCCCTGAAAGCCTGGGCAGGGGTCTCCACCCTCACGCACACCTGGCACCCGAAGGTCACCAGGAACGTGCGGGGTGGCACCGCCCCGTGACACCCTGCAAAGGGTCCCTCGGGGTCCCCGAGCACTGCGCAGCGCCTCGCCTGGGCCGGGGAGCAGCGTCGGGTGGGTGCCAGGTGGGTGCGGTTTGGGGAGAGCTGCCCAGAGCCTCCCATCGGGGTCCCTGTTGACGTTGCCGCAGAGGCCCCGGGGGCAGCGGGATGGGGCACATTGCCATCCTAGAGGATTGTGGGGCTCCTCTGGACCTGGAGCAGCTGGTGGGGCCCCACCTGTGCCACCCCCACGCAGCCACAGCAGCAGCAAGTGGCGGTCACCATCCACCTGGGGGAGACAGGGGTGAGGATTCTGTAAGGGAAGTTGTACCTTTTGCCTCAAAGGTGGGGCAAAATAGGGTTTGCATCCCCAAGAACAGAATTTGCACTTGCAAAACTAGGGTTTGGATTTCCTTCTGCGCACCTCAAACCCACGGTTTACATCCCAAAAAGGGATGGTGATTAGACTCCAAAAAGAGTTTTCAATACCAAAATCATAGTTTCCAGCTCTATCCCACAGTTAGCACACCAGAAAGGGTCTGTACACCCTAGAGTGCACACTTAAAGTGGTATGTGTACCCCAAACAGGGTTTGTACTTGAAAAACCACACTTTCACCCCCAAAATCATTGTCCCCAAAACATGGCTTGCACCCACAAAACAGGGCATGCACCTCAAAGTCAGAGCTTTCACCCTAAACAAGGCCTTTCCTCACTGTTGCACCTCCCAAAATCCTATTTCCATCCCCCTTTTTGGCTCCCAAGTATCTTTTTTCCCCCAAAACTAGGGCTTGCACCCCCAAGTTCCCAGGGCCTCTACTCACTGTCACCTCCCACTGCTGTCCCCTGTCCACCACCACAGTCACCCCACGCACCAATGCCATCAGCGTCACCCGCTGCACCTCCATGTCCTTCTGCTCCAAGGCCACAATGATAGGCTCCAGCTCTTCTTCAGGCTCACACCTCTCCAACTCTTGCAGCAGGAGGGTGCAGGACTCCCCCAGAATTCCCCAGGTGCCCATCAAAAGTGCTGTAAGTCCCTGCCCCAAAAAACCTGGCACTGTCTGCAGGGGCGGCACTCCAGTACCCCATCCTACACTGTGCATTCCTTGTCACTGGAGCAGTCTGGAATGGGATGACACTCCAGCCTCAGAGCAGATACGCTGCTCAGTGCAGGGGCACCCAGGGTAAAAAAAACTGCATCCCCCCGGCCCTCCAAAACACAGCCACACTGGGGGAGGGGCACACAGCAATCCGTGCTCTGGAAAAATCTGGGATCACAGAAACAACCTTCAAAGCATGTGGAGGCATCAGAGCAGTCCTGAGGTCCAGCTTTGTGTTTGCAGATGGCGGGGGCGGGGGGGGGGGGGTGCAGAGCTCATAGTGCTGGTTTGGGGGGCACACAGGGCCTGTCAGGAAGGGAGAAGGGTTAGGAAAACCAAAACCCCCACAAAAACTCCCTGCAAAGCCTCAAAACCCTAATGGACACCCCAGATTCCCATGGATATCCCAAAATTCCTCATCCAGGCCTCCCCTTGTGCAGACCCCAAATCCCCCATGGACACCCCAAAACTCCTTTTGTAGACTCCAAAACCCCACTGACACCCTAAAGCTCCACATGGAGACCAAAACCCCCTGGAAACACCTCAAGCCCCCCAAGTCCCCCCATACTGCAGAAGACAGCCATTTTTCACAGCTGTGGTCACCAGTGGCCATACACCACTGCATGCCCTTCACCACCGCGCACACCTCACCCAGCTTACACCTGGAGTCCTCGCACACTACCATTACCAGCTCCATGTCACACCTGCACCTGAAGTGACAGGTGTCACTGCTCCAAAACTCCTCACCAGGGTGGTAGTAGCAGCAACCATCACGGGTGCAGCCACAGCTGACCACCGGCACACACTGTCCGCCCCTGAGTACGTGGCTGGTGTTACAGGCACAGGGCTGGTCACAGATGGCAGGACTGTCCCAGTCAGAGCAGGTGGCTGCACAGGTGTTGCAACAGGGCTCATAGCAGATGTTTTCAGAGAAAGGTAAGGCTGCAGGGGAGGAAACTGGGACGAGAGAGGGATTAGGGGAGTGGACAGCATTCAACAGAGTAGGTGGAGACTGGGAAAGAGTCTTGAATGTGGGGAAGGGTCTGGAAAACAAGAAGGGTCTGGATTGCAAGGAGGAAGGTCTGGGAAATGGGGGAAGAGACTGGGACAAGTGGGATGAGGTCTGAGCCATGTGGCAAAGGTCTAGGCCATGCAGGATGGGGTCTGGAATGCACAAGATGAGGTCTAGGACACAATGATAAATTTCACAGAATTTCAGAGAATGCCTAGGCTGGAAGGGACCTTAAAGATCATCAAGTCCAACCCATGCTCTAACTCCACCCCTCCCTGGGCAGACCATTCCAGAACTTTATCACCAAGAGACAATGGGATTCATGAGGAACCAGGAAATTCCAAGCCAAATCCTGGAAGTTTCTGGGAATTCAAGTGCAAACTTCACCAAATACAGAGTATTTTAGCACAATTTCATCAAATACAGAGTATTTTAGCCTAATTTCATAACAAATCCTCAATTTTCATCCCTGTGGACATGATGAGGAACATTGTCAATGATTATCTGATGATGATCCAATGATCATCCGTAAAGAATATTCCAGCCCATTACAATAGGATTTTTTGCCACTAAACAACCCAATTTCTTACCATTTTCATGGAGAAAAATATAACACTCCCTCAAAGAATGGGGTCACTCCACATTGGGTCCTCAACTGACCTCCAGGCTGGATCCCTTTAACCCAATTCTATTTTTGGTGCATTTTTTTGGTGGTTCTCTCTCTAAATTATCCACTTTGTAGCCAACACCAAGACAATGGAGACTTTGGGGTGGTAAATTATTCCAGATGAGACAACTTCTTCCTTAGGAAGGCTTTATTTTGTGTGCATTATGAGATCAACCAAGACTTTGGGTGGGATTCCCACGCACCTCTGGGTTGTTCAAATTTGGATTTGGAACTGGCTTGAGGATCCTTTGCATACTGAAGGAAAAACCCTCCAAATTATCCCAATTTACAGCAGAAATTATCTGTCCTTCACATCTTGATGGACACACCAGCAGCCTGGCATGTGGTGGTGTAGAGGGCAATGATTGGACACATCCCTTCTTCCTGACCAGAGAACAGGCAGGAGTCATGGATGCAGCTCTGGAAGTACTGGTGGCCATCAACATGACCATAACATGCTCTAAAGGGTCCATCCACTTCCAAAATAATTTCACACCCCAACCCAGAGACTTCCTGCTGCAGCCAGGAGGGTGTGACAGTGCTGGAACATTCCACTGTTGACCTCTCACCACATCCTGGGACATCTGTGACCTTCCAGCTGCTCCCAAAGGCATCTGGGTCTGATGTCACATGGTTGCTCCTCATCACCATGTTGTTGCTGGCAGCACCAAGGTAGTTCCCACAAGGCCCACACAGGGGGTTGGCAAAGACATTTGGCAGTGATGTGGCTGTGCCAATTGTAGGTGACAATAAGGCCAAAATTGGTCTCTACAACCTGCCCACTGTGATAGACAACAATCTTCCTTTCACTGTGGTGATATGGGAGGTTGACCAACTGTTGCATCCCAGGACAATGAAGGGGATGTTGAGACTGGGATGCTCTGGGAAGACGCTCATCTTTAAGACAGGGCAACCCAGTGGGATGCTCTCCCACAGTCCCTTGCCTTGTTATGGTAATGATCCCAGTTACATCACCCCTGTTCTACTCCCTGTGGGAATACTTAAAATTAGAGTTTTGGGCAAGGTGCAAAAGGCAGGCCTCAGAGACAGCAGAACTGCAATTAGAACTAGGCAGTAGACATAAGATTTGTCAGCAGAAAGATTATACAAGAAGTAAAAAGTAAGGACAAATAGAACAATGGTCTGTATATTAGCACTTGGCTAGAATAACTCCCTAACTTACAGAAAAGTATATCTAGTCGAGATATTAGGAAGTTCTAAGCTTAATAATGGAGCTCTGTGCATTGTATCTTAAGGCTTACAAGCAGGTATTTTATTCTAAATAAGTGAGCATTGTTCTAACCAAAGGTACTTGTGCTTATAGTGGCTGGATAGAACTACTGTCAATATGCTTTTGCTTTGTGTGATTGGTCAAAAAGCTTTTAAAATAAGTTGTAACATTAAGTTCTTTGTCTGCTGCCTGGGATGTGAGCTGCTGGCATCTTCCCATTGTCATAACCATGTAATGAGACTGATGCTGGAAAATAAACAGCTCGAGACACGTTCCTCGGCAGTCCCGTCTCGTTCGTGATTTGTACACAGTCCCCCAGCTGGCAATACTCCCCAGTTCCAGAATGTTCCTCATTCCCATTTATCCCTTTAGTGCCCATTCCTTACTGTTCCTCCCCTGAATCCACTGTTGGTTTTTCCCCTGTAACACCACCTTTGCATCACCTCTGGTCCCTCTACCCATTGGCCCTCAGACCTGATGCTCTACCTCCCTTGTCCCATATAAAACCCTGGATCCTCCTTTGTACTTTATCCCTGGACTCTTCAGTGTGTAGGTGCGATAAACTATCACTGGAACGCTATACAAAAAACCCCTGCTGCCTGCTTTTTCCACTGACCTGCAACATACCATCTGGTGACGTGAACTGGGTGGTGCTCACATCTGGTTCTCACTGGGATATGCCTTCCTAGATTAGACACTCTTGGGAAGGCGGTGGCCTCAGCAGCTTCTGCCAAACCGCCGCAAACAACTCTCATTAGTCTGGGGAGAAAACCATAAAGAGTGATCACATTTGTAGTCTGATGGTAAATTCCAACTATTTTCAACAGCCAGAGCAACCAAACTGCTTAAATTTAATTAAATTTTGGATTGAATTATATTTGGGATGCAAGAGTATGATAAGGTCCAAGTCCCATGAGGAAGCTGACCAACCACTTATTGGTCTGGGAAGAAAACCATAAAAATTGGTAACATTTGGGTCTGACAGAGAATTCTGTTTTCAACAGCCAGCGCACACCAATTATATTGGTTTAATTACATTTCAGATTCAACCATTACTTAATGCAATGAGGTTTGGGATGAGGTGTGGGATGAGGTGATGAATGCAGTGAAAAGATAAAAGGACCACTTCCTAAACTCACCATGATTTTTCCACGATGTTCCTGCTGATGCTGATGGTTTTGTTGTAGACTTTTAACTGTCACCACGGCAATGGACAATGTGAGGTTGTCACTTTGGTGGCCATTCTGCACCAACACCTGGAATCCCACCAAATTTTGGGTGTCCTCACACAACCCAACCAGCAGGTAAGACACACATCCCCTGGAAGATACACCTCCTTTGATTAAAGGTCTCATAGTGAGTGGCTCCAACAGTGGTGCAGACCGCAGAAATTTTGGGATAACAATCCTAGATCCCCTACTCCACCTCGCATTCCTCCTTAGTGGTACAACCAGAATCCTGGCACACTGCCTGCCGCCGCTCCGCATCACACGCAGAGTGCTGGGTGCAAGTGAGGTCACTCCAAAATTCCTCGCCAAGGCCATAGAAGAGACCTTGAAGGACACAGCCACATTCAGAGGGGGCAGCGCAGGTGTTGGCATCAAGGCCACACAGGTGTCCACGCAGGTGTTGACAGTGGAACAGCGGGATGACACAGTGGGGATGTTGCAGGTAGGGAGGCAGGCTGTGGGTGCTGTTGGGCAGGCAAGTGAGAGCTGGACAGGGAGGGAGAGAGCAGTCAGGGTGAGGCGGCACATAGTGGGACAGACATCTTTGACTATCTGTATTACCCTGGAGTCTCCATGGATTTTAAGGAGTCTCCATTGATTTTTTGAAGTCTCTATGGACTTCCTGGACACTCTGCCTGGACTTTCTGGAGTCTCTGCAGACTTCCTGGGTTTCCTGCTCAGACTTTCTAGAGACTCCATGGACTTTGTGGACTTTCTACATGGACTTTCTAGAATCTCCCTGGATTTCCAAGGATTTCCTGCTTGGATCTGCTGCCGTAACCTTTCCCAAGCCATGAGTCCCTGGATCTTTAGTCCCACATTAATTAGGCTCTGCCCACCCCAAGGAGTATTTTCACCCAACCATCCTCTATTCATGACATCCCACTGTTGTCCTCCAATTGGAAACATTGATCCCTCCTCCTGGCAGTTATCAGCATAGATCTCGAAGGTATGGCACAGCACAGTGTGATGCCCCTCATTGGCACACAGGTCGTAGATGCAGTTCTTCACATAGATATTGGGACTGATAGCATCATGACATGACCAGAATGGCCTAGAATGTTGGAACAGCTTCCCACACCAGGTCTCTACCTTGTATGTCACCACCTGGTCCCATCCACACAGCTTACAGTCCCCACTACAGGCGTCCAGGCAGTGGCCACTCTTACTGGTCACCTTCCAGCTCCGCGCAAACTCCACAATATCACACACCTGTTTACCATCAAGACAGAGTGCATGATCCCAGAGGTCCCTGTTGTTCCTGCACATTCCGCAGACTTTTCCAGAAAGAGCAGCTGGAAGTTTGATTACTACATGATCATCCCACTTGTAGAGGACTTTCAGCTTGAAATTTGACTGGATCAGCATGGATTTACCCTTCTGGTGCATGTGGAGCTTCCCATGGGAGGAGATGGGGAGGTGTGAGCGGTGGCTGTTCACCTGCAGAACAACAACCATCAAAACAACCAAAATCCATCAAAATTGGTTACAGAGTTCAAGAAAACTAGAAGTGTTTTCATGCAAGGGTTACCTGCACACCAGGAAATCTAGGAATTATTTAGGAAAAGACCCTCAAGATCATTGCTAAATATGTAATTTCAGCAAAAAATTTTTAAAATTGGGAAATGATGATGGTTTTTGCTTTCCCTCACCATCCCATTCTCTGATGGGACAGCAGTGACAGTGACGTTGTCGACATGGATGGTGATGGAGCCAATGGAGGAAATTTTGGAGCCCCATTTGCCCTTTTTTTGACCTCAACAGAGAAGGCAGGAAGGGTGGGATCGGGATCGCAGATGGTGGTCACGGTGTAGGCACATGTTCCCATGAAATCAAAGGTCTTTCCATCAAAACTGCAGTAGTGTGGCCCGCCAGCAAGCCAATAGGTGGAGAAAGTCTCCTGGATGCACTCTGGCTGTCCATCCATCTCACACCTCTCATCGCATACCAAATCCTCACAGGAGAGCAGTGTGGGGACTGAAAAAAAGGGGAAAACCTATCCATGGTCAACTGCACAACACCCAACCACTGGGGTGACACAACAATGGGCTGACTGTACTCACTGGCAGCACAGAGTCCCAGGAAGCCATATCCAGCGTGACTCTGGAACCCAAACACCAAAAGCCCAATGGGCATCTGTGAGTTCTCAGCGCTCTGCATTGTTGCACTCAGGGTGATGCTGGCCCAGGAGAAATCTGTGCTAGGAATGGCCCGCCATGCCACGGTGTTGTCTGGAGGATGATTGAGGGTGGTGGTGGCAGTGGCAGTGGTGGGTGCAATGAGGATGGCATGGTTATACTGGCTGGGCACACTGCTGAAGTGGAACGCAGTGCAACGGGCGCTGACAGGTGGGACAACGAGGAAGGGATCTCGCCAAGATGATCCGCTGAAAACACCACCTGCACTGCCACCACCACACTGATGTACAGGTGGGAATTATGGTTCAGAACGAAAGTCTACACCTCCCCTGTCACCATGGCCACAGTGGCATTCCGGCTCATGGTGTTGTCTTTATCCATCACCATATAAACAAAGTCAAACTCTGTCTGCAGTGGGTTGGGTAGCACCATGTAGCTCCTCCCCCACTCTGTCATTGGGAGGAGCTGCTCCACCACAAAGTCAAAGCCAGCAAACACCTTGACACAGGTGTGGCCACTGCGGACGGCCACAGGGGTGTCGGCCACTACAACTGTGCCAGTGAAATCCTAGCTGCTCTGGAGCTGCAGGCTGTGGTAGGCTGCAGGAATAGGCAGAGCACCGCAACAGGGACGTAGGTGGCCCTAGCATAGTGGAAAGTGGGAGTGGTGGTGGCACTGCTGGCCACCATGAACTCAGTCAGGCTACAGGTGTAATTCCCAACAGGTGTCACCACACAGTACCTGTTGCCCAGGCTCTCCACAGGTAGGAGGGCAGTGGCACCCACAGTGTAGCCCATGGTGCTGACAGACATCATTGAGATATCAGTGCTCGTCTGGACCACCAAGGTTTTATGGGAAGTGCAGCTTCCAGTGAGTTCCAGGTTAGCAGAGAGGGGCAAGGGCACAGTGACATTTGGCCTCAGGGTGATGTTCTGGGTGACAGAGCCATCGTAGAGCATCACTGACACCTGAGTGTCAGCAGGGCCACAGGAGGTGAGCAGCAGCTGCAGCTACGCACTGGAGGAGCCGTCATGGTTCTGTGGGAACACAGCCGGAACTCGCAGCCCCAGTAGCTGGCACTGGAGAGGGCTGGGAAAATGGAGGAAAAAGGAGGCCTCAGTTAATTTTTATATTAACCAAGGAGGTTATATAAATGGGGCTTTTATGTTTTTATATTGATATTTTTATATCAATTCTGTATGTATTTACATATGAATTTTCCTATTTTGCAGTAGAAATTGTACCAAAATTACATTAAAGATATGACTGGAGGATCCAATTTATAAAGTCTACTTTTATATATAATCATAATAGAAATTCTATTTACAGTTTGTTATGTTAATAAACAACATTTGCATTCTATTAACAAGTGATTAAAATATATACCAATGTGTTAATTGTTAGAAATAATGGTGTATTATTAACTAATATTAATTATATAAAATACTATTCCTTAATACAACAATATAACTAGATACTTATATTATTGTACCCTGTGTTGATGATATATTAATAGTATTATGTAATATACTTTAGTATATTACTACTTATTAGCACACTGATAAAATATCAATAATATAAGACTCATATCAGTAAAAAAAATCTCAATTACATTTTAACCTGTTATGGTATTATTATACTTGTTATGCATAATATAGCTGAGTTATATAGTTTTCTATGTTATTATTATACAGATCTCTAATTGTGATACTGTGATACACAATACTTATATTTAAATATATAGTAGTATTTTTTCTATTGTTTTGTACTTAATTTTGATAGAAGTATCAGCAAATATTTAATCCAAATCCATAAATCTTAAAAATACTTAAAGTAATATAATAATGAATGCTGTGGCTATTTAATTTATTTCAGTATTAATCATAGTAGAAAATAAATTTACATGTTAGTTTTATAATTACTTACAACAGCAGATGATTTATATTTTCTCTATAAAATTATACAGATAATGATTTTAAATAATTTTATTTCTTGTTTCATAGAAACAGTTTGGGGAAAAAAACAGTAAAAATCAAGCTAAAATAAGCAGTAAGGAGCAAAATTAGAAAGGTAAAGAATATATTATAGATCAGAAAAGAATTAATATACCATTGTATTATACTATATTGCAATAGAATCTATCATTATACATAATCAACATAGCAATTATAATAATTGATATTATATTGTAACACAAAATATAAAAATATATAAATGTTATTAAATATAATATCCATAAATTACAAAAAGTTATACTACCTTATAATACAAAAACATAACGTAATTCATATAATATTATGCAACTCTTTGTCATATCATATTGTAAAATAATCTTTAATTGTATTATATAATTATATTTATAGTAATTTATATGTAATCTATCATTTATAATTCCCTTAATAACTAGAAATAGTCACATATAATAGCAATATATAGTGTACTTTATTAATAAATGCACTAATAAATTATATGAATAGAAAATATATTACGTATTTTTGTAGTCCAAATTTTTTGTACATCCATATAAACTTTTAAATAATTTTATACTGAATTTTCACGGAAATTTTTACTAAAAAATGCAAATAAGAATAATGATAATAACAACATAATTGCAGAAGAATAGATCATATGTTGTATTTTTATATAATTACAGTAGAGATAATGTTACACATTCATACAGAAGTATAATAGCGTATGTATATTCTTAATATAACCCCAACACATAAAATTATAGATAAGTATTAATAAGCAATTATTGTCTTATTAATCAATATTATACTATTCAATTACACTATTTAATAGTATTAATAGCCAATTAAAATTTTATGTATTTTGAATAAGATAAAATGTATATATTAAAAAATATATAAAATATATAAATATATTAAAGTAAAACTAATACTTTAAAAGGATCAAGACTTTAAAAGGATAAAAAATATTTTCAAAGCTTTTTTAAATCCTACAAAACAACAAAATAGCCCTTTTTTGCCCCAGAACAGGTTAAAAGGTTAAAAAGACTGGATATCTTCTCCTAGTTAAAAGAACAAAATAAAAATTCTTGAGATTGTCAGGGAAAAAAAAGAGGAAAAAGGGATAAAAAACTATTAAAACTTGGTGTATATATAAAAGCACATCATATGGATTTTTTTTTAATTAAAAAAAAATAGGAAATTGGGGATATTGGATAAAAAATAATTCTGGTGATTTTTTCAGGACAAAAAAATAGAATTTGAGTGTTTGGGGGGAAAAATAGGGAATAATAAGGTTTGACTGTGAATAAAAAATAGGATTAAAGGGGGCTTTCCAAAATAATACATGAAAATGAGTTGTTTTTCTAAAAAAGGGGATTTTGAAGAAAAATGAACAGGGAAATAAGCAATTGGGATTTTAATAATTAGAAAAAAGTGAAAGAGCTTTTTTTCTTCAAAAATACCTGAAACCTAAAACAGAATTCAAGAGGGTATTTTTCCTTAATGAATAAATTTTTAAAATAAAATTAAACCAGAAAAAAGAATAAACAATAAAAAGAGAATAAAAAGGGTCTTTTTCTTTAAAACACTATCTAAAAAATGGGTTGATAAAAGGTTTTAGTGAAAATTAGAAAAAAGCCAGAAAAATAAGGAATAAAAGGGTCTTTTTTCCCTTAGGAACCAACTGCTTTTACAAAAAAAGAGAAAATATAGTTACTTTTTTCATTAAAAAATACCTTTTAAAATATATATCTTTTCCCTGAAAAAAAAAATACAATTCCAGCATATGGGTTTTGTCCTGGAAAAACATAAAAACTGATCATTAGAATTTTAGATAAAACAAAACAGAAAAACCCACAAAAGCCACCCAAAAAGTAAACGGAAATAACCAGGACAAAGTGCACTTTTTTTTTTTTTTTTCCCCCATAGAAAGTGAAGAAAAAGAAGATTTTTTCCCATGAAGATTAATGAGGCATTCATGAAAAAAAGTAGAAGATTCTGAAAGCTTTTGGATTAAAACAATATTTCCAAATGGGTTTCTTGGTTAAAAATAACAAATCTACAGCTGAGAGGTTTGTTGGAGAAAATGTAAAATGAAGGAAGAGGGGAATTTTCTGACAAAAACAAGCCCAGGGATTGACGATTTCATTTTCTGTGCTAAAAAGCATGGAAATATGTACAAAGTCCAGGAAATTCAGGGATTTTGCATGGAAAATAGGGGTTTTACTTATCACAGAAGGGAAGGAGGAGCCACCAGATCCCATCTTGTGCCATCCCTGCGAAAAACACCAAAAATCACAAAAAAACTGTAATTTTATGAGAAAAATCCATGTGAACCCTGCGGTGTCTCCAGAAGCCTCAAATAACTCCCAAATTACCCCAAAATGTCTTTTAATACCCCAAAATGCCTTTTTTTCACCCCACAAAAATCTCTTGGGCCTTATTTTGGCCCCCACTGCCTCTAAATCCACCTGAAACATTCCAAACTCAACATTTTGTCCAAAATTCCCCAGGTTTGGATCAAAATGGTTTTTCTTCCCAAATGCTCCCATTTTGGGTCAAAATACTATTACCCCCAATGCCCTCCCTTTTGGTCAAAATGGAATTAAAGAGATAAAACATCTCTCCCCCTCATCCTCCTCCCACCTTGAGGCCACATCAGAGTCTCCATCTAAATCAGAGTCACTCCAAATATAGATGAATTTTAACTAAAATCACCTAGATTCATGTCAAAATGGGGTTAAAATGCTGACACAGCCCTCCCACCAAACCCTGCCCTTGATGCCATCTCAATACCCCATTTCCACCAAATCCACACTAAAACTTCATGGAAAGGCTGAATTTTCCAGCTCCTCCAGTTTTGATCAAAATGGGTATTTTATTGCCCAGCATCCCCCAAATTTGGATCAAAATGGAGCTCAACATCCAAGGAACCCTTCACTCACCTTGTCCCACACAAA